GGAATAGTGTCTACATTTTTCTTTTACAATTCAGAAGTCACAAAACTGGGTCTGTAAACTAGGAGACAGTGAGTTACTGAGGGCAGAAGTATACTGAAAGGCTTTTCTAATCCTTAGTTAAATTTTCAGCACTGGCAAATTGAAATAGGAAAGGATACTGAAGCGCTCAGGTCTAGCAGTAGCTATTTCTCTTCAGACTTACAATACACTTGCAAAGGTCATTTTGCACCTAGGCCAGGGACTGAAAATAAATTTCTGGCATAGGACACATCCTTTTGCATCTCACAAAACTCTCACTTTCTTTCTTGCAATTCCAGATTGTGGAAAGTGTCTAGTGTAGCATATTATCAATATATTCGGAGTATTTCTTTCAGGCTGAAATTATAGTCATTCCCAGAAAAGTGAACATGACGAACATGGATTGCCAAGTACGCTCTTGTCCTTTGGTTATGATGATGCAAAAGCAAATTTATTAAAATAAGGAACAAATTTAATAGCTTTTCTAATTTTTCACTGATTCTCGCCGTCTTTTGCGGAACATCATCAGTTTATTACAGATGAAAGGGAGAGAGGGGATACTTGTGAGCCTCTCTGTTAAAAGACTGATGCGGAGCATATTACAATAGACAAAGTCCAGTACCAGGACTCTGGCATAGCTATAGCAGATTCACAGTGATGATTCCTTGAATTGGACCATCACTTTTATAGAATGAGTATATACAAATAGATTCCTGAGATTATAGCACTGAGACACTTGCTATAACATCAGGAAATCCTGAAGCTAGGCTTTAAATGGAAAACCTCTTTTTAAAATTTTTTAAGAATTCCTGTTATTGTTATTCCTTGACAATAAAAAGTAAACATTCTTACCTTTGGCTTTTGACTTTTCTCCTTATCAGACACGTTAGATGGTTTTCTCTTTAACATTTTAAATTCAGGTTTATTCAACTGATGTGCAACTGCTACCAGCTTGTAACCAAACTAAGTACAACAAAGTGTGCTACACGAGCGTACATCAGATACGCAGTTCCTGATTCTATCAGGATGTGACTTCACGCAGCTGCTTTGCGGCATGGGTGAGTGAGCTGAAATCTTCATTTGGGGAGGGAGTGAGGAAGGAGGGAAGGAAGTGACGGGGAAAAGAATGATAGAGGTGCACTAAGGACATGAGTTGAAAATTAGGACAGAGTTCAGAGTGAGAAATGCTTTAAAATTTGTCTCCTTCTGTGTCACCATTAGGCCTCAGTAAGACTTTGGAAAACCTCAAGAAAATCGTCCTCTTTTCCCCTCTCATTTTTCCCCATTCAGCCTTCTGGCACTAACTGTACCCTTCATTTCAACTTCTGCTGGGACTCAATGTGAAGAAGCTGTGCTGCTGTTCACATGACCAAGGGATATTATTGCCCAGCAGATTTGCACTGCGCTGCGGTACTTGGTCTAGCTGGTACCTAACACCTCACTTTCTCTCTTAGCTCTAGAGTGATGCAATAAAAGCAAAGAGATTAAAAGTCACTGTTTGGTAGAGAAGGGAAGTTTTCTAAAGCCATCTCTTCCTTTTGCATGGTGGAATAATTTTGTGCAATTTATATCACAGAATTTGGACACCCTGAAAGAGTGCTTTTCAGATCTCCATTGTCCTTTATTTGGTGACAAAGTCACAACAAGAAGCAGCAAGTTTAACAGAAGGCTTACAACAAAGAGACAGAGGAGAACGACAGAAGTCCTTTATACTCCCTTAAAAACAGCCCAGAGGCTAAATGAAAGTGGAGGTATTAAGATAGCTTTGAATTTCTGCTTCATTTTGCTTGATATTATTTGTCAAAGTCAAACAAAAGTCTTGAGTATTCTAAGTAAAACTTATTTGTGGTGAATCATAGGCCACAAAACCCGAAACAATGAAAATTTCCCAACTTTTTCCTGAAAGTTGGAGACAAATTCTGAATTTCAAGCCCCCAGCTTTTGGGCTACCCACAGAGCTTCAATTAAATCTTAATTTAACATTACTACAAATGAAACTCAAATGTATTTCTAAGTAAGTTGCAAGAAAAAGGTTCAAGAGTAAGTGTCAAAAAACCCCATTGGTAAAAATTAATTTTCTTTTTCAAAATTTCTATAACATTTTTTGAAAAAAAATAAAATTCAAGCAGATCTATTCTAAGCAACTTTTACTCATAAATTCTGCATAGATATTGCTCTTTTAAAAAGCAAGTCACTGTGGAGGTCTTTTGCACCAAATAAAAATTCAGAAGTCCTTGTTTATCCAAATACTCAGTGCACCCCCCTTTCTTTCTCTATGTCATCCTTTTAATATTAGATTTGGTTGAATTCTAAATCAAGTAAAGCTAAAACAAGAAACCATCCAAACTGAAAATGAAAAGATCTGATGGCTGAAAGCCAATGAGAAATGCACAGGTCTTATTTCTTAGAATTGCCTTTCCCAGTCCCATAAACACTTCTAACTTTTTGAAGCATGCATGAGGAGATAGGCAGGTAGTCTCTTGGCTGAATTGGTCTCCTCTTCCTTTATCATATGAATACTCCAGGGAGGGATAAGGCACTGCTCATCAGATTAATTCCCATTTCAGTTTGCTATTTGGACTTCTATTTAGATGCTTAAGAAAGGTTGTGGAGGCCTTCTTGGATTGTGATGAGTGGGCAACTGAATGGACTGAGACTGAGTGGTGAAAGAATAATTGTCATATGCTAATGGTATAATGAGGTTTTCCTTTCCAGAACTTCTAACAACCAGGTGGGTAAGAAGGGGAGGAGGAACTGGAGTTAACATGCTGAAATTCTGCCAAATATAATGTAAGATTGTTCTCTAGGTTATTGGATTGCTGCAGAGTATGTGTTGAACCTCAACCCATTAACCAAGATGTTTCACTTCACATTGTAAACTGAACTAGACTAATTTAGAACAAAATTGAATTTATTATTGTTGTTATTAATAGTAACATACCCATCAGTATTCAGAATAATTGATATTATTAATAATAATTTATGAATAAATAGTAATAACATTGACAAACTCTGAGAGATATGTTTCTTTCCTATATTTGATAACAACACCTGAGAAGCCTATTTGAGTTTCTAACCATAAGGTTTTACCATGGATATTTAATCGACCTTGGTAATTAGTAGGGCCATATGTTGTTATAAAAGCTGTACGCATGTTTTATAGTAATTAAACCTGATTATTTATCTACATATAAGTACGTTCCAGTATATTGTTTTTCTTTTTAATCTGATCCAAATGTGAGTATTAAATCAGACTCTGCTGATCATTAGACTGTGATTTCCTGTCTCAGGCCGCTGTTAAAATCTTCGTGATTAATAAAATGGGAACTCATCTGAAGAGTAATATATGAGCTTCCTTTCTGTAGAATATTTATTGTTAAACAGGAAGAAAGAGGCCATTTCAAGAGATATAGTGCCCACCCATATCTATTTCCTTTCCTCATCCACATATCAGGAAAATTATAGCAGCTTGAAAGCTGACCTGATTATGTTCTTGCCCTTGGAAGGTTGACCCACACTAGTTTTAAAAAGTAACAAAGTGAAGAAAATCACACATATATAACATTAGGTTCGTTTAATTTAGTTAATCAATACATTTCAAAGGGGGCACTTTTGAATTAAAAATTAATAATAAGCTCGCTGCTTATATCCTCTGTATTTGAAGCTAATTTTTCAAGGACGAATGAATATCTATGTAAAATTAAAATAAAAATTCTCATACTTAGTTTTCTATTGGACATGACTGCAGGTAACATCCCATTTCCTTGCTGGTCTTTGAACCTGATCCAAACCCCAGTGAAATCAATAGAAGTTTTTCAGGAGAATTTTATGGGGCTTGGATTAGAAATACCCAGGCAATGTCACTCTTCACTCTGGAAAGTCCTATGGGGGAAAAAAGGCTATCCACTTAAAAATAATTAAGACGACCCCATGAGAATGATTCCCACTGTCATTATATTTATAAAAGGCAACATACATTATGGCTTATTATTATCATTGTTCAGTTATAATGAATGGACCATGATGAATGTTCCTGGATATTCAAGTGTTTTATGTGCCTCTCTCCCACATGATATCAAGTGCTGCAACAGTGCCATATCCCCTCAGTGTCTCCATCCAGTTACTTTGCCCTGAAAGGAGAGAATACTTCCAGTCTAAACAGCAAGTGTAAACTTCTCCTTTCAATACTTGATTATACTGATAATATTAATAAGTGGAGTGCACACTAAATTGAAGAGTTTAGCATACTGGCCACCTGTCAAAAAGCAAATAAAATGAGACTTTTTTTCATGTTAGCAACTCATTTTTCATTGTCCATCAGACAAATCTGGTCTGAGTTTAACCGGAAACTCAGGGATACTTTGGGGCTGTACATTGCTTTCCATAATGCTGAGCAATCCCAGGGTGTGTTAGTCTGTTTATTTTAGTTAAAATAAGACTTGTACTTTGTACAAGAAGGGAATCGTGTCTTCAGCCTCTGCTTTTATGGCCGTGCCTCTCCCTGTATGGTCTAGCTCCCTTAGATATTGCAGAAATCTCAGAATAGCAAGTGGAGCTGAGTGAATAATTTGCAGTGAATAATTTACTTAACAAATTTAATCTTTATTTCCTCAAGGAATGTTCATGAGCAGGACACAATTTCCTCAAATGTATTAATTATGGGCCAGAACACAGCTAGATACTTCCCTCTCCTGGTCTAATCTGAGCAAGGGCCAGCCACAGCTACAGTCACTGCAACTTCTCAGCAGAGCTCTCTCCTTAAACTACCACAGCAAAGACTTGATGGAAACTAAAAGGAACTATCTGAACAAGTGAAATTAAGCCTTCCCTCCTCTTCCAACAACCCGTGAAAGAAGCCAGATGTTGCAGTCTGGGCTATCTTTATCACTATTTAAACTAAACATTCACTTTCAATTTTACCTCCAAAAATAAAGGCTGTGATTTTCCATTGGGATGCTGGGGAATGCAGCTGGATGTTTAAGGTCTCACCTTTGAAACTCACTGCAAACTCATTGCTGCAAGCATCCTGAACTTAGTACTGAAAATTGGTCCAAAATGCTTCAGGGCTTCATGTAACAAGGTGTGTAATTTCCTATTTAATAGGCTCCTATGTGCTTTTCATCAGGAATAAAAAATGAAAAAGTTACAGAAACTCGTAGTCTTTGAGAGACAAGGTGGGATTAAAGAATTAAAGAATAGTTTAAGCTTACATCCCTAATTTGGCAGAGGGATAGCACTATATCAAGGTGACTCCTATCCTGTATAAAATATAATTCTTATGAAGCCTGCAGAAACTGGCTATTCGGCAAAGCTAATAACTAACATCTGAAGTTAGCTTCAGAAACTTGATCTTTGCTAAATAATTTACATTGGGAGGATTTTTAATGCCATATATCCACTGAAACAGCATGAAGGAACAAAAAGAGTGGA